TTTGCAATGAAACAAAGTTTATGGAAGAAGAATTCTAGGTTTGACACCTTGTGGATACAGAAAACAAAGGCCTGATAAGACCATCTGCAGACCCTCAGGATATAGGCCTCCCCATGAAATTCCTCTTTTTGGACCTCCCTGGTAACCTCCTTAGCAACGGACTTTTACTTGGGAAGAAGCCCCACGGGGGGGGGGGGGCAGGTTGGAGAAACCCTATAAAGGCCACCTGGAACAAAGGAAGGGCACGCACATGCTGCCCGAGTCCATGTGCTGCTTGCGCCCACGTGGCTGAGCACACGTGGTGCCTGAGCACATGTGTCGCCCGCATCTCCCCTCTTGAGATGTGTACTTTCATGCTTTCGTGTCTAAAGCTAGGGTGTGTGTAGGTTCTCTCTCTGCCCTTGGAGAAGCCTGTGTTCTCTCTCTCTCCCCCCCTCCCCCAACCCCGCACCTAAAAATCCTCCAAATAAAATCTATTTATTCCACTGCTTGTCTACTCCTAAAATTCCTTTCTGCAAGCCAAGACAAGAACCCAGTAACCCTGGGTCCCGGGTGGCAGAGGCGGGTGGAGAGAAAGTGACCGTCTTTCTCCTCCCCACTTCACATAAGTCACCCGTGGGGCCCACTGACATCAAAATGACAAAGGTATGAGCTATGCTTGAGATACAAGAGAATCTAGAACAAGAGGATACGGGGAGATTTCAGGCGAGGGAGGTGAGCAGAGTGTAGATGAGTGGTGAAGGGCAGAGGGGGACATGAAGAGCATCTGACAAAAGCTGTAGGCAAGAATTGGTGAAGATGTTTTGGCTTTGAAAGCCAAACACACAAGGGATTCCATATGCCATATGAGAATGACTATTTGTGGTGTGTGTGCCTGTGTTGGGGTCTGTGTGTGGTGTGCGGAGATGTGTATGTTAGTGGGCATGTCGTTGTGTAGGAGAGACAAGGACAGGAGCAGTAACATTTTTACAAGGTGCAAATAAATAATTTGTGGAATCAGTGATGGAGGGAAACTAAGAAGGGATGAGGGAGCTCAGGAAGCAAGAATCAAGGGTCTGTCTTGATAGGGATGTGGACATTCCCAGGACTGTTGGAAGGCCTACCACACAAGGCTCCATGTAGGAACATAAGAAACAAAGGAAGCTTATGACCTGGAAAAGGGAGTACCAGGTGTGCAAGCTCGGGGCTCTAAGGAGCAACCCCTCCAGGGCACACTGTGACAGAAAAATGCCCGAGTGAACACAAGATCCCAGTGTGTAGGGACTGACATGCAGCAAGAACCTGACAACTGCTGAGTGCATAAAGGAACATGTGGGGTTGGAAGGAGTTGTCAGGAACTCCAAGGACCAAGAGTGGGATATAGTGTGAGGGAGAGAATTTAATAGTGCAAAACAGCCAAACCCACTCCAGAACCGAGTTACCAGAGAGAAGAAAATTAGTAAGGTTCACAGAGAAGGAGGAGTCAGACAGCTTGGAAAACTGGGAGAATTTGGAGAAACTTTAGACCTGCATTATGGTTATCCTGTGCAGCACCAGGTAAAGACCAGCCTGACCGCTGGTCATAGCCTGACCAGGGCACACCCAAGGTTTGAGAAACTATTCATGAAAGCAAAAACAATATGATTACATGGGAGTAATAGCCCATTCCAAGGGGGTTGGAAGTCATTGCTCATGGCAGGGGATACTGCCTTTTCTAGGTTCAAAGGTCTGTATGGAAATAAAGACCCAGTACCATGATGCTACTATAAATTTACCTGAACTTACTTGTTTTCCTAAAATCCAATGGATTCCCAGTCCCCATGATCTCGGGTTTAGTACTCAGGTTGTCTTGTACACTGGATCGCTCCTGTGCTTATCCCCCTTCTGAACCTTTACCAGGTGACTGCACCCTTCGAACGTGAAAAATGCTTCCTTATCCGTCTAACACAGATACCCACGTGGTGGCGAGAACCTTGCTCATTCTCTGTCACGTGGCTGATCACCCTCCTTTGTCAGTAACTATTAAATTGTATCCTAGTGCCCCGCTCTCCAAAGTCCTACCTGTGACTAGCGAGTGGCATTTGGAATATCCTGTGGAAGAGCGTGTCCTAGTGGGAAGAGTCAGACAGCATAGTGCACGGAGACTGTCCCACTTCAAGGACCCTAGCTAAACTGAGATGCTCCTAAAAAGTCAAAACCTCAGAGGGCACTGCTTGGCAATTTCATCCATATTGCTGAAGATTAATATGAGAGTCTATCCATGGTATCAGCAGCAATGAGAGCTACAAATGCTGAGTAAGAAACACAGTTTTCTCTGTATGATTCGTATCTGAAAGGCCCTTTGAGCTAGTATCACTGAGTTTGTAAGAATTTTAGACACAAGGATAAGTCTCAGATAAGGCATCCCCTACTAAGGCCTCGTTATAATCACAGTTAGGAATCTGCCAGTACGTGGTGAGGTGGTGTGCTGCGATAAGCTGATGAATGAGAGCATGAATTCGACTGAGAAAGTGAAGTCTAGAGAACTGTCTGAAAGTGCCTGAATCTGCAACAGAATGTTCATTTCAGATCCAGAGATGTTTTTGGAGAATACCACTGTCCCATCCCCCACCCCCTCATCTTAATTTTCAGTGATTTGCAAAATCTTGGATCAGGAAAACTCCTGCAACTAAACACCAGGTTACTTTTACTTGGCGTTACAGAAAGGAGTGCAAACATCACCAACCAAGGCAAAGTAGTTCATGGAAATAACATCTCAGAAGACCTTGTTACAGGAGTGGCCTAGCCTTACTTAGGAACTATGTCCTGCCAAACTGGACACTTCAAGGGCCACTAAGAGGAAAAGTGTGAGAGGAACACAGATGGTGCAGAGATGATCCTTATGGAATACTGGGTGCGTTTTATTTTAAGAACTCATTTTCCAGTCTCAGGTTTCAATCTCTTGTGTATCTATCCTCAGGAGTGGCTTTCTAGTACAAACCTTACACTGCTGTGTTTTTTTATGCACTGAATTGAGTTATGCAACTGGGCATTGATATGCTATTGTCTTGCACAAAAATGGTGAGAGTCCAGCTTCCTTGTAAATTAGCCCCTGGAAAACTTGGGTCAATGAATCCATTTTCCTATCAAAACTTAAACATCAAAAGGAGAGAGAGAACACAGGGGATTGCCCTGCCACAGAGACAGGGGGGGATGGGGGGATGGGGGTGGGGGGATATTATCCATGGTGGTGGAAAATGGGCACTGGTGGAGGGATGGGTATCTGATCATTGTATAATCGAAACCCAAGCACAAAAAATTGTAAATCTACAACTGCAAAAAAAAAAAGAAACAAAAAAATATATATATATTACTTAAATAAAAGTAATCACCAAAAATAAAAAAAAGAACCCTAAAAAAAAAAAAACTTAAACATCAAAGTCACTAATCCTCTAAGAGAATCCAAACCTTGCACCACAAGTCTAAGAAGGCTTGTTCTTGATCATCTTAGGGGACAAGGATTCTATTAGCAGAAAAGATTCTAAATCACATGAGATGTTTGATTTTAAGAATTCTCTAAACAACGGCTCGCTGAATTGGTTTTCTTTCTCCCATTCCATCTGATCTATTTATTTTATGTGCCTAGGAACATAAACATGTCAAAAAAGAAAAGTGGAAAAAATGAGACTGGTGTGAGAAGAAATTGCTGATCATGAAAGTCGTCAGTTTTGGTGAAACGCAGATGGGCCAGCCCAAGCCACCATGCTGAGAGGCCCCCATCTGCAGTGGCTATTTGTGCCCAGTGAATGCTGGGCAGCAGGGATCGAGTGGCCTGCAATGAGGGGATGAAGGGACTGGGGCGAGGTGTGGAGTGGGCAGCACAGCCCAGAGGCACAAGCATATTTATAAACAGACAACAGCTCCGACATCAACTGTTTCAGCCGTACAACTGAAGCAATCACTCCAAAACAAAGGACTCGTGAGAAGGAACTGGGTAACTGCTGAAGATCACCAAGGATTTATTGGATGACACAGCACTGAAAACATGATCGTTACAGATGATCTGTGGATACAGCATACAGCAGCTATTCATTTGAGGATGATCTGTGAAGATGAGTTGCATAAATATAAAGAGGTGGAAATAAATAGGATTTTTTAAGTGTTCTTTTGGGGTGGATTTAGAAGCCACATAATCTCAGGTCAATCTCAGGATGGCAGCAGTTAAGACTTCTTAGCTGCCCATTCTAAGTTGCCTACAGGGGCCAGACTTGTAGATAACGGGCTCTGCTTTCTCCGAGGGGGTGTAGGGTCAGCTCTGACATGCTATGTGTCACCGCATCCTGAAAAAATGCACGTTACAAACACAGATACTGTTGACTGTTTTGGCAATCAGATGGTTGGTTTTGCCCTGAGGCAAACCTGCAACTGTAATGCCAGACAGAGTAAGAGCAATGCATGTACCAATGACACTGAGAGGCAAAGAGCTACCACGGAAAGGAAAGGAAGCAGCTATGTGTATGCTGTTCAGTACATACACAAATCCAGGTGTGATGGGAAACAGTGTGACTGTTCATAGAGAGAGAGAAAGAGAAAGATGTGTCTGAAAGAACATTGAAAACTTTTGCAGCAAATTTACTTTTAAACACAGTAAACTGGAGAGAGAGAGAAAGAGAGAGAGAGAGAGAGAGAGAGAGAGAGAGAGAGAGAGAGAGAGAGAGAGAGAGAGAGAGAGCACGTGCTCACACCTGTGCTAGGGAAAAAAATAATCTCACACTATAGGGTAATTCATCACATCTTCTGCAGGGCAGCCACTCAATACCAGACACTTGGTGCAGAGGATTAAGGTTCTGGTCTGGAGAAAGCAACCTTGGAACTGGCAGGAGGGCATCAAGTACACAAGTCTCCACTGCTTGGACAAAGCACAAACGAACCTTTTATCAGTAATATGAGAATCAGTTGAGGAACTTTGTTTTCGTCACTTTTGTCTCTTAAGAGTTTTTGCACACATGCCCCACGGATATGCCGTAACCAGCTTGGCCACGGCATCAGTCTGTCCATCACCAAGAGTGTAATAACAAAAGTGAGCTCTTCCAGTTCCACACAGGTTTAAGAACCCAGGAAGCAGGCTACTCTGGCAATACTGGGGGCTTAATCCAGGCGCCGGGTGAAGTTCTCTGGAAAGAGGCCTTTGTAGGTGGCAAGATCTCGGTACTGAAGCCAGTCTGACTCCTTCACTCCCACCAGCCAGCCTGCATCCTGCAAAACAGACAAAGGGTTCTCAGAGGTCAGTGGAACACTGCAGGGAACTGCACCGAGCACTCGTGGGTCAGGAGCTCAGCCCACACCCAAGTCCCATGGCAAGATGCCACATGGACTGTACACGGCACTCAAGGCCAGTGGGGAGAGTATCCCCAGTGAAATGCTAGTTTGACAGTGAAGGAATAAACATTTTAGGTTATTTTTTCACATATAATAGAGGCTTAACGTTAACATTATAATTTTAGTGGGACGGGAGACAGTACAGTGGGCAGGGCACTAGCCTTGCATTTGGCCAACCTAGGTTTCATCTCCAGCATCCCACATGGTTCCCTGAGCACTGGCAGGAGTGAGCCCTGAGTGCAGAGTCAGGAGTCACTCCTGAGTAGAGCCAGGTATGGAGCCCCCCCGTCCCCAAAAGAAAACTCCAATAATTTCATATAAAGTATAATTAATGGATGCTAACTAGATTATGACATGAGGAGAAAAGAAGAACCACGGCCAGGGACATGTGGGAAGGGCATCCTCAGGGAAAGGCCCTGTCTCGTGGAACAAAGGCTCGAGGACCGCTGAGGAGGACACAGAGCTGACAGGCCATGGGGGGAGGGGAACCTTCTGTATTCCACCCAGAACCACCTGGAGACACTCTGGCTCCTGTCACTCCACTGGAATAAACTACCAGATATAAGGCTTATAAAATGCCAGCCAATGTGTCACTGGTGCTGCTGCCGAGCTTGCTGCTGCTCCGCATCTGCTCTTCAAGTTTATATAAACCGCACGCTGGCTTGAAGCCAGGCCACCTTGCTGAAGTGTTCAGTTCTTTATAAAGCATTCATCCTAGACAATCTATCGATTGTTTAGGATCCATGAAGATGCGCCTATATAGGAGAGCCATTGTAAATGTAAATGTAAAGGCCCTCCCGTTGATCATCGATTTGCTCAAGCGGGCCCAGTAACGTCTCCATTGGAGACTTTGTTGTTACTGTGTCTGGCATATCGAATACTCTCGGTAGCTTGCCGGGCTCTCCGAGAGGGGCGGAGGAATCGAACTCGGGTCGGCCATGTTGGCTGCTTGTAAGGCGAACGCCCTACTGCTGTGCTATCGCTCCAGCCCAATATAAAACTAAAACAAGGTGACAGGTGCACTAGAGAACTGTCCCTTATGGCAGCACAGCATCGGAGATAGACAGGAACTGACAAACAGCCGCTGCCTGCTCCTGAGACAAAGATAAGCAGGTGGGGGTGGGGTGGGGGGTGGACCTGAGTGAGGGCAAATGGGAAACACACAGACTGGGATGCAAAATTAGTGGGGAGGGGCCATCTTTTTAAAGTCAACTGGCCCAGGAAATCTCTTTCCACTAAAAGAGATTAGAGACTTTACTCTCCAAGTAAGGATGAACAATGGCCAGATTTAATCGGAACCAACCCCCAGTACAGCTCAAGTACATCAGATAAAATGAGGTCTCAAAAATTAAATAAGGAAACTGAATACATTCCCTTTTGATATAATCTAAGCCTATAAATTGATGCTACTATGTAGACAAGAAATACAAGCATTTAGACAGTCCAATTTTCAATGGCAGGAAAATATCACTGAGAAAATAATGAATCAACAAAACAACTCAGAATATCCTCACCGATGAGAAAAAATGTCGTCTTTAAAATTATGATATTACATATTTGAAGGACAAAGTTATACTTAAAATTAAAGGTGGTACAAAATATTTTATAAACCTCTAGTAAGATTATAAAACTTCATCCCCCCCAGAAGTGTCGATATTTGACTTTGTTTATAGTGAATGAGAGTCTAATAGAACCAAGTAGAATTACATGTTTAAAATTTTTTCAGAGAAAGGAAAAATAAGTAACAGACACAAAACCCATAACGATGGCATCCTGCAATATTATATACAGAGTAAAGTGGGAATATTAGCTAATACCAATCGTTAGCTAGGAAATCTAGAATATCAAAATTTAACTCCTTAAGCCATATGGCAGACTAAAGATTCCCAGTTTTGGTAATGGCAAAGTAGATTGTATGAGATAAATACTTCTTCACAGAACATTTCCTAAGCATGAAAATAGTCATATTTACAAAAATCACAATATGCACATATTCACATAAACAACTCGTTAAATAAAGGACTATGTCTTATAAAACATTCTATACAAAAGTTTATTTAATGGCACTGTCATGAATGATGAGGTTGGACATATGTGGCAGCATCCTGGGAGCACTCAGTGCTCCACAGAAAGTTATCAGGGAATGCTGAGACTCTGACGTAGAGAAGTGCTCTGGGGAAAACAGGAGCTGCTATGGCACTGATCCTCTCCGCAAGGACTGTCCTCATCTGTGGCAGAGATTCGGAGGATGAAGGGGAGCTTCAGGATAGCTCTAGCTTACAGGTGTCATCTTGACAAAGAAGGTGCCAAGGGTGGGGGAGTCCCCTGTCACACAGAGAAGCGTCCTGAAAGTCCCCTTCCCACGTCATCAGTGCAGAGGGCTCTGCCGGGCTTCCGGAGGAAACTGCAGGAGACCAAATGCCTGGGACTCAAGCACTGCCAAGAGGGGAAGAAGGGTAGAAAGTCTGGATCCCACCAGTTTACGAGACTGGATTAAACCTCTCCAGTTTCTCTACAGAAGCACCAGACAGGCTACAGCTCTGAGGTACGGCCCAAGAAAAAGAACTGGCCCAGAGTAAAAACAAAACTGAAACAGACCCACAGTATATAAAACATATACGAAAATACGTAAGACAAATATTCATGAATTCAAGATAACTATGCACAATTTAAATGCTTCTTAGAAAAAATTGATTTCTGAGACAGAAAATATAATTCAGACACTTTACAATGGATTGCAAATCTACATATTCACTGTGTACGTATGTATCATGGGGGAAAGGGGAGGTACTATCTATGAGGAGAAAAAAATGGGGAAGTATGACTCAAAGATTAAAGAAAATGAACAGAAATGTGTCCTGAGATGATCCATAAATTCTTAGTATGAAATTTAAAGCAGCTAAATAAATATCTTCGTTTACTTAAATCCAAAGATAGAAATGATCAGAAAGGCAAAGAAGTGGTAGCTATTTAAATGAATCATATGGAAATAAAATCATGTGAAGGAACAGTACCTGGGATATAAAAGTCACTGGCTAAGCCTGACAACTATTCAAGTAGAGAGCACCTCTACTGAACACAGAGCAGCAGAAATCATCTGCCCTGAGTACCAGAGTAAGAACCATTACACAGAAAAGAGCAGTCCTAGACTGCAAGATGCCTGACGTATGTACAACTGGAAGTGGGGGAAAAGAAGAGGATGACTTTCCAGGACAGCCAGGCCTTCAGATGTGGGCTGGTAGCTGGTCCAGGCCTGAGGTGCTCATGCACATCCATCAAAGGGCTAACCCTAAACACAAAAAATTTGAAAAAATAAATGCAAAACTAAGCATTGAAGAGGAACTGATGAGAACTAGAAAAATGTTCTTCCAGCAGTCAGGAAGTATGGCTGAATGCTGAGGGAACAGAAAATAATGAGATGCCTCTCAGCAGCAGAGAAAAGGCGTGATGCAAGGAATTATTAGACAAAGGGAAAACGAAAGTAAATGTGATGAGTCCTTCAAAGAGCTCCTCTTTCTTTGTTTGGGATTTTGAGCCACAGTGGTAGCTCAGGGCCCACATTGCTCCCGGCTGTGCTCAGGGACAGCCAAGCACGGGCTCCGTCTCCCCATTCTCCCTCCACTCAGGGATAGCAGAGCGTGGGCTCTGTCTGCCCGCTCTCCATGCAGGGAACAATTTGGGCCTGCCTGACATGCTCTACCAAAGAAGCTGCTTTTGCATTCATCTGTAAATGCATTTCATTACTTCCTTCCATCTCTTTATTTTTCCTTTAACTTGATCGTTTCATCTTCTTTTGCTGAAAGCATAGAAACTGAAACTAATAAATGCAAAATACTTTTTTACATACTCGGTGGAAAATTTGCACCTCATTATTAATAAGTATATTCTTATAATTTAAATAATGATGAACACTATTAATCATTTTAATTTTATTTTATTATGAAAAGGTATTTTTGTTTGTTTGAGCCAATACCTGACTCCTTTGAGAAATGCATCAGTAAGACAGCTATAGACACGAATGCGGAACTCCAGAAGCTCGAGGTACAGTTGTAGATTTACAATTTTTTGTGCTTGGGTTTGATTATACGATGATCAGATACCCGTCCCTCCACCAGTGCCCATTTTCCACCACCATGGATAATATCCCCCCCACCCCTATCCCCCCATTCCCCCCTGCCTCTGTGGCAGGGCAATTCTCTGTGTTCTCTCTCTCCTTTTGGGTGTTGTGGTCTGCAAAAGAGGCATTGAGTGGCAAACATGTTCAGTCCATAGTCCACTTCCGACATGCATCTCCCCTCCTGGGAGGATCCTCCAAACACCCTTTATTTGGTGTTCCCTTCTCTATCTGAGCTGCCCTTTCCTCTAGAATGCCCAACTGGCCACTAAGCTATGGAGTAATCCTCCTGGTGCTGATCTCAGCTATTCTTGGGTATTAATCTCATATTTTGTTACTTTATATCCCCCAGATGAATGCAATCTTTCTATGTCTATCCCTCTCTTTCTGACTCATTTCGCTTAGCATGATACTTTCCATGTTGTACCACTTGTATGTAAATTTCATGACTTCATCTTTTCTAACAGCTACATAGTACTCCATTGTGTAGATGTACCAAAGTTTCTTTAACCAGTCATCTGTTCTTGGGCATTCAGGTTTCTTCCAGTTTCTGGCTATTGTAAAGAGTGCTGCAATGAACAAACAAGTGCAGATATCACTTCGACTATACATTTTTGCCTCTCTGGGATATATTCCCAGGAGTGGTATTGCTGGGTCAAATGGGAGCTCAATTTCTAATTTTTTGAGAATCGTCCATACTGTTTTCCAGAAGGGCTGAACCAGTGGACATTCCCACCAACAGTGAAGGAGTGTCCCTTTCTCGCCACATCCACGCCAGCATCGGTTGCTTTTGTTCTTTTGAATGTGGGCCAGTCTCTGAGGTGTGAGATGGTATCTCATTGTGGTTTTGATCTGCATCTCCCTGATGATTAATGATGTAGAGCATTTTCTCATGTGCTTTTTTGCCATTCGGATTTCTTCTTTGAGAAAGTTTCTGTTCATTTCATTGCCCCATTTTTGGATGGGGTTGGATGTTTTCTTCTTGTGGAGTTTAACCAGTATTTTGTATATCCTGGATATCAACCCCTTGTCAGATGTGTATTCGGTGAATATCCTTTCCCATTCTGTAGACTATCTTTGTATTTTGGTCACTGTTTCTTTGGAGGTGCAGAAGCTTCTTAGTTTAAGATAGTCCCATTTATCTATCTCTATTTTCACTTGCTCAGACAGTGGCGTGGCATCTTTGAAGATACCATTAGCTTCAATGTCATGGAGGGTTTTGCCAACTTTGTCTTCAATGTACCTTATGGTTTCTGGTCTGATGTTGAGGTCTTTAACCCATTTTGATCTTACTTTTGTACATGGTGTTAGGCAGAGTTCTGAGCCCATTTTTTTTTTGCATGTAGCCGTCCAGTGATGCCAGCACAATTTGTTAAAGAGGCTTTCCTTACTCCACTTCACATTACTTGCACCTTTATCAAAGATTAGATGATCATATGATTGAGGGGACATGTCAGTGTATTCAACCCTGTTCCATTGGTCTGCAGTTCTGCCTTTGTTCCAGTACCATGCTGTTTTAATTATTACTGCTTTGTAGTACAGTTTGAAGTTCGGGAGGTTGATTCCTCCCATTTTCTTTTTCCCAAGAATTGCTTTAGCTATTCGTGGGGGCTTATTGTTCCATATAAATTTCAGGAGTGTTTGCTCCATTTCTTTGAAGAATGTCATGGGTATCCTTATAGGCATTGCATTGAATTTATGCAATGCTTTCGGTAGTATTGCCATTTTGACAATGTTAAGTCTCCCGACCCATGAGCAGGGGATATCTTTCCATTTCCTCATGTCCTCTTTTATTTCCTGAAGTAGCGTTTTGTAGTTTTCTTTGTACAGGTCCTTTACTTCCTTAGTTAAGCTGATTCCTAAGTACTTGATTTTCTGGGGCACAATTGTGAACGGGATTGTTTTTTTCATGTTGCTTTCTTCTCTCTCACTGTTTGCATATAGGAAAGCCATGGACTTTTGGGTACTGATTTTATAGCCTGCAACTTTACTATACGAGTCTATTGTTTCTAGGAGTTTTTTGGTGGAGGTTATTGGGTTCTCTAAGTATAGTATCATATCATCTGCGAATAGTGGGAGCTTGATTTCTTCCTTTCCTACCTGAATGCCCTTAATATCTTTTTCTTGCCTAATCGCTATTGCAAGTACTTCCAGTACTATATTGAACAGCAGTGGAGAGAGTGGGCATCCTTGTCTCGTCCCTGATCTTAGAGGGAAGGCTCTCAGCTTTTCCCCATTGAGGATGATGCTTGCTGTAGGCTTGTGGTAGATGGCAGAAGCTCTTTTTTAAGGAGGTCCGGCTCAAAAGTCTCCTTGAGAATCTTATGGAAATTATAACTTCTTCTCAAGAAAAATACGCTAATAAATCTATTTACACATATTTTATACTACTTCAGGATTTTCTCAAATCCTATGAAGAACAACATACAAGGAATTCTTGGTATCTTGACATCGTCCCATGAGGCTTAGAGGTGATTTTTTAAAAAACCTTTTTAAGATTGAGTCTGTTGTGGAGACTGCTAACTGTATCATTCACTGGCTTATGCAAAATGCATTCACAGGTAACCCACACACCCATCACGATACCAAGTGAGGTAAGAGCATCCTAAAAGAGGAGTAGGGCATTCTGGCAGGTCAGGAAGAAGCCTGCAACCCCCCTCAGAGCCTCCACGCAGCATCTCAGAAAACAGAAACATTTCCAGAAGTCATTTGTCAGCCGGAAACTCCTAAGAGCCCAGCACCTTCCACGCCTGTCCTTTACCTGGTCAGCTTCCGAGTCCGAGGGCACCACCAACACCACATCACCCCTCTGCAGGTTAAGCTCATCGGAATTTGCTGCCTCAAAATCATGCAGTGTTTCCACCTGCGAAAGATTGCAGAAGAACAGGCTCATTTCAAAAGAAAAAGGGGCATGAACATAAAAATATTCCAACCAGATTATCAACTGAGACTCCGAGGAAAGACACACAGGCTCAGATCACACAACAGGTAGGAGAAGGCCCCCCGGACAGAGAAAGGCCTTTCCTCTGTTTACATAAAACACCAGATTCTGACACAGCCCCACTAAGACTGATGCCACTAATACTGGGTGTGTATTTTGTTTGGCAACAACTGTAGCACTGTAGCACTGTCCTCCCGTTGTTCCATCAATTTGCTTGAGCGGGCCCAGTAATGTCTCCATTGTGACAACTGTTACCGTGTTTGGCATATTGAATACATCACAGGTAGCTTGCCAGGCTTTGCCATGCGGGCGAGATACTCTCAGAAGCTTGCCGGGCTCTCCGAGAGGGGCGGGGGAACCCAACCCGGCTCGGCCAGGCAGACCGCACACAAGGCAAAAGCCTTACTTTTGCTGTCGCTCCAGAGAAGTTGTTAATTCTAATTCTTAGAGGATTTTTTGGTTAGGAAATTGCTGTTTTATTCTGATACTTTATTTTTATGTTTCTAAACCAGAACTAAAAATGCCCACTGAATAGTTCCTCTGAACAAAAATTCATAACTGGTAAAATTGGTATTTTTAGGTTATTAAAAAAACTATTGAATTTTAGCCATTACTTTTTAAATCAACTTCATTCCTTATCATAGCCTTTAAACCATGCCAATCTCCTACTTTCTTTCCCTTTTTCCCCCCAAGAAAATATATCTCACCTGGATCACTGCCAAAATCTATGGTATACAGCACACCAATTTGAGGTACACGTCACAGTATGACCATACTGCATGCCTTTGTATTATTATTTCTTTAATTGTTTGAAAAATTAAGTCCTGGTCCTTAGCAAATTTGAGGACTATAATAAAATATTGTCTGTATTCATTATTTTGTGTTTTACTTCTCTAGGGCTTAATTAGTGCGTCTTCCAAGTTCGTTGCCTTAAAAATAAGCTGCCCTGTCTCTTTACCCCTCTTTCCTGTCACAGGAAGATTTCTTAAAATCTGATTAAAAAGGAAATTGGGGCCCAGTGCGACAGTCTAGCAGCAGGGGAAACCACTTCTCATGGCCTTCTTTGGCAAAGACCACACGGGGTTTCTGGCTCAGAATGTCTCAAGGGAAAGCAGCACAGACAGTCCATTTACTGCCACAACACCAGAGCCAAACACGGGAGACCCTAATTTCAAGTCAGAAGACCTCAGGGCAGTGGAGGGCCAAGTGGCAGGCAGATAAAAGGAGGCAAGCGAGGACCTTGTAGAGGAAGCCCGGCGGCAGGTCTTGCAGGGCCTGGCCCGCAGCGAGGCCGGGTGCGGGCTGGTCCGAGGCGTCGCTGGGGAGGGCCGTCCCTGCGGGCGCGTCGTGCTCTCCATCCCCTTCATTATTGGAGGCAGGCTCGATGACCACGGAGGGGATGACCTTCTCCTGCGGGAAGGACAGCGCGCTGGGTGGGGCAGGGCTGGGAGGGAGACTCCTGCTCCTCAGACTCGGCCACGCCCCCTCTGGCCTTTGATGCCAGCGGGCCCCATCGCCTCCCACCTTAAGCCCCGTCCTGACAGTGCCCCGAGACAAGGGCCTACGGTGCGGTAATCTCCAGGTGCTTGGCCAGTCAGGCAGTCTGGGAAGAGTGAGGGAACCGGGGACCCCGAAGGGGGTGAGTCGCAGGTCGGGGACCCACCCAAAAAAGATGTGGAGGGGGTCCCAGCACAGTCTCACACTGACAGCGACCCAAATCTTGGCTGGCTGGGCACATTTGCTTGCTTGAAGCTGACACTTCACCTGTACGACCTTTGCACCCAGGGCAGCAGGGGCCGCCTGACACCCTGATGGCAGTCCGACTCCGTCCTTAATTGGATTAACACCTGCCCTGCCTTGCTGGTGTCACTGGGCACCCACAGCATTGAAGGGGCTCCAGTCGGCTGCATTCTAGAGTCAAAGTAAAACCAAAGAACCCAGACCTTGCTGCTACTCCTTTTTCTCTTTCCAATCTTTTGTTAAGGCACCATGAATTATAAATTTATTCATAGTTGGGGCTTTTGACACACAATGGCCCATCAGAGACCCTCCCACCAGTGTCTGCTACCCTCGCCCAGTCCCTCCCTGACCTACTCCCTACCCCGACCACAGCCCCAGTCTGCCATCTGACAGGCACCTTCTAAATCTGGTTATTAAAAATTGGGGCCTGTGATTTCAGTGTTGCGCTCTCTGGTTTGGGTGTTTAGGGTTGTCACTCTCTCTGACACCACCCAAGTATCTGAGTGCCCTTGACCCCTGCTCCTGCGACTTCTCGTCTGTCTCCTCTCCCCTTTCACTCTGTTTCTTCCCTTCTCTTCCTAAACTCTGGGGCCAGGGTAATCCGGGCATCCCCCCACCATTTGAACCACTGTATTTCCTCAACAGTCACTTCTACTTTTTAATAAAGATCAGTAAGTTTCCTGGCATGATGGAAGTCTGGAGACATGTTTGCCTTTGGGATCAAATTCTGTACTTCTTCAGGTACTAATTGACACGAGTATGTCTATTCTCCAATTTGGAGAAAATGATACACTCTTTTAATACATACAACAATACAGACAAAAAAGCTCTGGGCACCGTGACCAGAAAATTTAATGAAAAAAGTAATAAAGTGCTCTCCAAACACTCCTGGTACCAGCTCTTTTAAAAGTGATAATTCAATTTTAAACTGGAAGGAACACCAGAGATATTTTTGGAAATTTATTATGTGTCAAGGAATCATGAAAAAGGATAGCTTGATGTTATCAAGCCCACCCCAGCTTCCTAAATTGTGCCTGCCCACCGCCCCCAAAGGGGCTGAGGGAAGGAAACGCTTCAGGGGAGCTGCCCAAGTGTCTCCCTGGGTTTGAGGCTGCAGTCAGAGCTATGTGGATGGTCACCTCCAAACACTCCTCCACTGAAGAAGTACAGAACAGGTGCCAACCCCAACTTCCATTCTGTATTCAGTGACATTTTCCTTTGGAAAGACCAACTCAGAGATGGGATTTTGGTGATCAAAATTTAACAGGAAATTTAATAATAACAGGGCTGATGGTAATCATCACCATAGGAAAGTTCTGGCCATCATATGACTGGATGGACGATACTGGCCTCTCACCCTGACCCTGCTCTGGCCTAAGTCTCTTCAAGCCACTTCTCACTTAGCCCACACCGCAACTGTGTTATTTCCTCCCTTTCTCCTCCCTCCCATCCTGCTTCTTTGCCAGTGCTTCATTTCTTTTCTCCATCATTTCTCTCTCCCTCTTGGGCGCGCCTGCCCAGTCTATGACAGTGCTGGCCGAGCGGACTGTCCTGAGACACTTCTCTGGGCCAGTACAGTGCCACCTTCCCACTCCTGAGGGGTTGTCCCCCAACACCTGACTGAGCTCCAACCTGCCCTTTGTCTGTGGAGCCTCCATTCCCCGGGAACACTCACCTGGGGTGTGGCGGCCTCTGTTTCTTCTGGCTGAGGCTGCTCGCTCTCTCCGGCCTCTGTGGTGTCCGTCTCGGCCTTAGTCTCCTCTAACCTTGCCTCTTCCTCAGCGGGCACAGCTGCCTTCCCTGGCTCGACCACACCCACGGGGGCTCCTTCTGCTGTGGCTGCCACATCAGCCTCCGTGCCAGGCGGGACCTGCAGGTCAGAAGCCGAATGGGCCTTGCGGGGGTCCTCCCAGGCCTCCTGAGGCCCAGGCTCCACCTGCCACCCTTCATGGCGAGCCAGCATGCGTCCCATTCAGAAACCTTCTTTGCAATGGGCAGAAACCCAGGACCCAGGCGGAGCAGAGGTGAAGCACCATCCATCTACTCAACCCTGCCCTCCCTCTGAGCGTCCGCTCAGCTGAGACCATTTCTGTGACAGTGGGACCTCTAAGGTATGTGAGGCCCATACGCGGCTGATTTCTGGGGCAGTAAAGGAGGTAGCAGAAAGGCCTCAGAGGGTACTTGAGTCCCAAGGTAAGAGGTTAGGCCTGATTCTCTCCGTGGTCATGAAAGAAACCATATAAAATCATCTTCATTACGTAAATTCAGAATTTTGCAAAACCTCATTTCATCATACATGTTAAAAAATTCAGAAGGAAGGTTTCAGGAATAAAGGTTCTCACACTTGTGGAAAAATACTAGGGAGTGTTCTCAATGACACCTCTTGAGGATAATTTTTTTTCTGACTGATTATGCGTTATAATAAAAATAAAATAAAAAGTTGGCACTCCTACTAGGTGTCTTAAAATAGAAAATAAATGAGGAATTTGTTTCTAGGGTGAAGCATAGTTTCAAAAGGGTATTTTCCATTTAAAATAAAAAATATTTTATTTGGTATTTAAAAGTAACAAAAATGAAATAAAGAGAATATAATTAGAAATTTAGCTATTGAACAATTCAGTTATGGAGCACATGTCTTGAATACGATTTGAGCACTCACTTGGCAGATCTGATTTGAGAGCTTCAAATAAGAAATATTGATTAAAAAGTAGAATAGTAGATTGCTCTTATATAAATAACCCAGAACACATATTTCAAAAATTGAACTTGCCATCTGACGTGATTAGCATTGGCTATTCATTTCTCTTTATCGAATAAATTCTACCCAGTTAGTTTGTCCTATTAAGTTACTAGAGTCTGAATGTTGCAGATATTAACTGTCAAACCCAGAACACTGCAGAGAGAGGATTGCAAAGCAGAAATCCCACGGGGGGGGGAGAGGGGGGCGAAAATGAGGTAAGCATGCAAGTCAGCGCTAGTGAGGGAGCCATTTTTTAAGAACATTTTTCTCCTAAGTCAAATTTCTTTTTACTTGCAAAAACAACTTGTGCTTAGAATCCATTTTTAAACAACATGTTTTACCTTGGTCATAAAAATAATGTTGACACTTTATTTCTACCTGAAATTCCTATTCCCAGAAATGCATTCCCCTTTCTTAGGTCAATCTGACGGTGAGGAATGAAGTCACGCACCATGACTGACTGATTTCTTTCTTTTCCTACCTGTCATTAAAGTGTTCATTAACATTCTCTTTCTATGTACAATTTACTGAAGTGAATTATAAACGTTGATTGCTACTGAAGTAGGATGACCAGTACATGGGGATTTATATTTTTGGTAAGTGACAGAAAATAAGAACACATTTAAGAATTTTAGAGAGAGGCCCTGGAAATGGCTCAAGGACAAGCCCACTGGCAAGTATGCAGAGCTGAGCTTCATCCCAGGGTCCCCCGGGGGCCACATGCAGTGCCTAGCTCTGCCCCGGCCAGGGCTGCAGTACCTGTAGGACACGTCTGCAGACACTGCAACAGACAAGAGACTGTGAGGTCTAGTGCGAGCATGACAACCACACGTGCAGCTAGTGCGTGAACGTGGTGACCACACGTGTGGCTAGTGTGTGAGCACAGCCACCATGCATGCAGCACTGGCCTTTGTCGGAGCAGACTGTGGCTGTGGTTCCTGCTCATCACAAGGGGAAAGCAGGGAAACAGGCTTACAAAAGTAACCACACAATGTTCAGAGAACAGCCTCACTTGTGAATCCATACTCGTCTGTACTGTCGAGGGAAGCTTTACTCAGGAGATAAACTAGGAGAGTTTTAGAATATTGAGCAAATGCTTACAGTTGGAAAAATGGACCGGATCCTTAAGGACCTAGAATTTTCTTACACCTCAGAAACCATATGTGAAGACAACACTCATGCAACAGATGTATGGGTCCGGATGTATGAAGGCAGTAACCCTGTCATGATTGTTACTTATTTATACCTATCACCTGTCAGTGTGGACACACAGACCAGTATATACAGAACACACATAACACCACAGAGACAAAACAGTGGTACCCAATAGGGTATTTGACAGCCCACTCCCCCACGCATATACGTTCCAAGCACACGCTAACAGTCCTGGAGCCAAACTGGTATATCACTAGAGGAGTATGTATTTCTGAGAAATACTTGTGTTTAACTCTCAGAAGTCTTTCTGAACTCTCTCTGTACACACCGAAGTTTCGTGATGAGTGCCTAATTTAATTCTCCCTCTCTCTATAATTATCAATCTGATGTGTCATGTTTTACTAGTACAAGATCCACGTGTTACTACTATCTTTCCTTTATTGTACTGTTAACAGGCAGGCAGTGAAGGCGAGAGCTGGCTGCAATGACGCTGGCCGCCAGCAGGAGGAAGGAAAGGGCAGTGAAGGCCAGAGCTGGCTGCAATGACGCTGGTCGCCAGCAGGAGGAAGCCAAGGGCAGTGAAGGCGAGGGCTGGCTGCAATGACGCTGGCCACCAGTAGGAGGAAGCCAAGGGTAGTGAAGGCTAGAGCTGGCTGCAATGACGCTAGCCGCCGGCAGGAGGAAGCAAAGGGCTCTCCCTGTCTGACGTCCACACATCTTGCAGCAGCTGAAACTCTGTAGCTCCGGCACACCAACAATTTACAAGATTTATGTCCCCGAAAAGGAAGGGAGCAATGTAAAAATGGCAATGAAAATCATGGAAAACAAAACTCATCAAGATACTGGAACTGGCAAGGGAATTGGCACTTCAGCTACCAAGAGGAACAGTCAGATCATCACTTGCAGAAGGAAAAAAAAAAGGGGTGCTTCTCCATTCTTCTCTTACTCAAGCAGCAACAAATTCATGTTTCTATAGGAAAATTAGCAGTGATACTGTAGCGCTTAGAACATACCTATAGGCATCCCCAGTCTGGTTTAAGAGGGTGCTGTAGGACAACGCCCCTTGTGGACCCTCCTTACTAAGATTTTTGCGTGCTTAAGGACCCTACGCGACTAATAAATTTTACTTTTTGGGTCACATCCAGCGATGCTCAGGGGTAACTCCTGGCTCTATGCTCAGAAATTACTCCTGGCGGTGCCCGGGGGGACTATATGAGATGCTGGATCGAATCTGGGTCGGCTGCATGCAAGCCCTACCCGCTGTACTGTTGCTCTAGCCCCCGACTAAGAAATTTTAAAAGGACTGCCTTTCATGGTCACTAACTGACAAAGAAGCTAAGAGCACAAAGTGGAAAAAAGACAGGGTCTTCAATAAATGCTGTTGGAAAAACGGGATAACCACATGTAAAAAGTAGGATCTGTATCTCACACCTTACACAAAAATCAACTCAAACTGGATCAAAAACCTTGAGATCAACCCTGAATAAAGTACACTGAAGAAAACATAGGCAGAACAAAATCCAAGTCCTAGAATTCAAATATATCTTCAACAATATGAGGCTATTGGAAAAAACTACAGAATTCAAAATTAAACAAATGGAAGTATGTCAAACTAAAAAGTTGCTCTATGGCAAAAGAAACAGGCTAAAACTAAAAGACAGTTAACTGAGCAGGGAAAAATATATATGCATTCAACATATCAGATAAAGGGTTGATGTCCAGGATCTAAAAAGTACTCACACCTCACGGGATGGGGGTGGAGCCGGCCCTTTTCTTCCTACCCCAACAAGACCCTGAGTCACTGCCAATAAACGACCTCTCTGGCTCCTGATCAAGCTGCTTAATAGTCATGATCCCAGAGACTCAAAAACAAATTTTAGAACCCAGTCTTTTTGGCAGAAATGTATCTGGACCCCGCACTAGGTTACTGTCGCCAGGCCATTCCCAGTGGGAAAGGGTGCTGTCCCTCCGCCTACTCCCCCTAGGCAGCTCAGTGGCCGCCATCCTCCAGAGGCCATTGGACAGTCAGGATTGGGCCTTCAGTGATGAGACACACTGGGCCTCACGGGATGCAGGTGGAGCCGGCCCTTTCCTCCTCGTCCCTTTCCTCCTCATCCCAATGAGACCCCAAGTCACCACCCATGAATGGCCTTTCTGGCTCCCGATCAAGCTGCTTAACGGCCATGATCCAAGAGACTCAGGAACAAATCTCGGAACCCAGCAGGTTTTGGCAGAAATCCCTCTATATTTAATTCTTAAAATTTCGAAATTTCAAAATCGCATGGCCACTACCGCAGCCATGCAACACCATGTGTTATTCATAGTAGCAATAGAGAACAACTTGTCTACTGATGCCTTTTCAGCAGATCTGAGAATTGGGGTAAAATCCCAAATGATAATGGTGGGTCTGGTGTCAAAATATTGAATGTAATCAAAGTAGAGAGAGAGTAATGTGGAAATCATCTGCCTCACAGGTGGGGGGAGGGTGTGGGAAGGAGGTATACTGGGGTTTTTGGTGGTGGAGAATGGGCACTGGTGAAGGTACAGGTGTTTCATTGTATGACCGAGACTTAAACCCGAAAGCTTTGTAACCGCTCTCATGGTGATTCAATAAATAAAATTGTAAAAAATGAAAAAAAAAGTAAGGGGGAGTTCATGCCCAATTCAATCTGCTGATCAGTGGCTGAATGAAAAGCAGTACTCCTACATATAAGTAAATAAATAAAAAGTACTCACAAAGATCAACAACAATAACAAAATCTACAAACCCCTTCAAAAGGAAGAGATAGGAAATGAACAGACACTTCTCTGAGGAAAACTAACGATGATCAAAGGACACATAAAAAATGCTCATCATCACTTATTTTCAGGGAAATTCAAATCAAAAGAACAATGAGGTACCATCTCACATCAGTGAGAATGGCACATTTGAAAAAATAGAACAATCTGTGTTGGGAGGGGGTGGAGTAAAGAGG